TTTCAAGGCCGCTGGAAGCTATAACATATTTTTCTTTTAACTTGAGTTAAGAAGCCGTGAAAAAAATACTTTTAACGCTAATATACAGTGAAAACCATTTGTGTACCAACAAGAGAGTTCAGCTGAAAAGAGATTATCAGTTGATAGCGCTTGTAATGATAAGGGAACTTTGGTATTCAGAACTGATATGACTGGAGAAGCTGACGGTGGCGTAACACCTGGAACCGGGAAATCAACGTGATTTGAATTTATCAAAACATGCTAATATCAGAGAGCGAGAGAGAGAGAGAAAAAGAAAAAGAAAAAAGAAAAAAGAAAAAGAAAAGAAAAAGAAAGAAAAAAGAAAGAAAGAAAGAAAGAAAGAAAGAAAGAAAGAAAGAAAAGAAAGAAAGAAAGAAAGAAAAGAAAGAAAGAAAAGAAAAGAAAGAAAGAGAGAGAGAGAGAGAGAGAGAGAGAGAGAGAGAGAGAGAGAGAGAGAGAGAGGAAGGCTCAGTTAGTACACATGAATCTTGTATTATTATCCATTATCCTCTTAATTCCTCTTGCCTCTTTGTCTTTCTATTTTAGACTTCTTAGTATTTTTCCTGCCAGAATGAATTTGCCTTGAAAGGAAAAAGTGAGAGAATGACCCGAAAAGTTATCTGTGCCTTGCTGTTGACCTGCTCTCGACCACTGCCGTTTGGTTATTTATCATAATCACCAGTTGCAGCAGCAATAGTGCAGTGGAAAATGAGGCAATCATTGTATAAAACCGCAAAAAGATTTATAAAAATAGGCTTGTAAATATTGCTGTTAAGCGAGGAAAGTAGTGAAGATGACTGAATCTAGCTTGCTTTTTCTGACAGCAGTCTCTGAATGAGAAAAATCCCGTTTATTTATGTTAGAAGATGGAACGAACGAATGTTTGTCTGAAAGTGTGAGAATGGTAAAGGGTGCATGCTGTTCAGAACTTTAGAGCAGGGCACCATCTGTACAAGACTTCGTTGCATGACGTGGGGTATCAATTCATGAAGAAAAATACGATTCTTCTGTCAAAATTAATAATGTGAAGTGAGTGTTTGTAAACAACGAAAGTGGCATTTATCAAAGAGAGATGTGAGCAAAATAAATATCTACCGGATAGATAGAAAGATAAATGGTATATATATCAGATAATGAGACTGATATGCACTTATTTTTGCGAATATGCAAGTCCTTATACATGAATATTCAAGGGGTCGGGCCTCCCTCAATTTTAACAAAATGGCCGTAATTCTTGTGTTAAGTGGGCTGCCAGTTTATATAAAGAAAAAAATCCTCATATTCACCTGTTCATTCATGAAGCATTCGTGCAATATATACTGAGTATATCTCTTGGAATTTGGTTGTAATTTTGAATAATTCATATTAATCCCTGGTTGGCTCTGAGACATTTCCTTTGCGTACTGTGGCCTGGATACTCTCCCTAACATCAACCGTGGTCCGGCTCAGGAACCAGACTCACTACACTGCTGTTGTAAGAGAAGATTTTCATGTAAAAATATGGAACGAGTTTCACCGCAGAAGCAAGGAGAGAAATTCATATTTAATCCACCGTATGAACCATAAATGCACAGTATCAGAAACATTTTAGCTTAACCTGTGTTGGTACAGGAAACGAAAGGTCAGAAGTACTAGTGAATGCATCGAAAATCTTCAAAGGGCCAAGTCAGTGGGTATTCGTCTGTGATATCCGTTACTGCCGTTAAAGATAACGATAGCGATGGCAATAATGATGACAAGTTTAGGGCGAATTATGATATTGTTATGATATCAGTAACAGTACTAATAACAGTAATATTACTAGCTGTAACAAAAACAATTAAAAGATATTAATGTTAAATATTCTTATTATTATCATGCTGCTGTTGCTATTATTAGTACTATGGTAACAACAACAATAATGACAGTAATACCTGTTCCTGTTTACAGTCTTTATAATGAACACAATAAAGACATGACGTATATATATGTGTACGTGTGTACACACACGCACACACACATATGTATATATATATTATATTATATATATATATATATATATATATATGCATGTACATACACACATATATATATATATATATATATATATATATATATATATATATATATATATATATATATATATATATGCATGTACATACACACACACACACACACACACCACACACACACACACACACACACACACACACACACACACACACATATATATATATATATATATATATATATATATATATATATATATATATATATATATATATGCATGTACATACACACACACACACACACATATATATATTATATATATATATATATATATATATATATATATATATATATATGCATGTACATATATATATATATATATATATATATATAATATATATATATATATATATAATATATATGTGTGTGTGTGTGTGTGTGTGTGTGTATGTATATGTATATGTATATATATATATATATATATGTATAT